CGAACGTCCTCTAACTTCCAGTTTTTAAACAAAGCATTATTCATTAATAACAATAGCAAACTATAGCATTTAATATACTAGTACCCTCCTTCTGACATTTTAACAAGTTTTTCCACCAACAATTATCCTTTCACTCAAGCGAGGTACATTTATATTTGATTTTCAATTACCTTATTAAAGGTAGGTTTGCTAAATCCACCATAACGTTCACAAATATTGAACTGCTCATAATGCCCATAAAGACCTGGAGAAAGGCAATCCCTCGGAAACTTTAATCACAACAAAATTATATGAAATTGCGAACTATGTTTGATTGGGTGTGTACATGAGGGATAATGAAAATGTGCAACATCCCTCACGCCCTATAATTAGTGTATAATTCCTATACAAAGCTGAAAACTTAATGTGTCCAGTTTGCTTCCACTTGTTAAAACTACTTTTAAATGCTATGGATTGGTTAAATATCAGCATCTACGTACAACATTTTAACTTTAAGAATATATGAGCCGCGTCACGACAAAACCAACATTGTGCGTTTGCGATCCATGCTGATCGCTATCAATGTCTCTACTTGTCATAGGGTTTGTAAGCGAACAGCATGGATCCTGATCAGACTGCGCGGATGTGCAGGCTGGTCTGGATCCATGCTGGCCGCAAACCCATTATGTTGGTTTTGTCGTGACGCGGCTCATATATTGGCCTTGCAAACAGCATTCCTCTGTAGTCATAACGTGATAATCGATTGCAGTTAAATGTTTTATACAATCAAGCTCGTTGCAGTTGTAACAGAATGTACATGTATACCATGCATGTTGTTAATAGTCTGGATGTGTACCTTTTGAACTCAATATCACCTTCGGCTATTATTGTAACATTAATTAATATGTTCTGCTAGCAAAAATTGCCCACTAACTTTCAAAATGATTACAAAAGTCATCATTCATAGTGACGAGGTTCACCCATTTATTTAGATCTTCATTTGGTTTTTAACCATCCGTTATAGCTTTTATTGGGATTTTGGACTATTGAGAATAATTCCGGCCAGATATTTATCAATTTGTTTAAGTCTGCATTATTTGCAAAATCTTTTTATATTCCTTTTTTCAGGCATCAAACACATAAATAAATAAATACTGTTAATATCAGTAAATAATACATTGTATCTATATAAATATCCCTAACTATATTGATTGTTTACAATTAAAAAGCTGGTAAAGATGAAATATATGATATTTTTTTTTCATTTACAAAAGTGACAGATTTTATCGAGATATAAAACGAGCAGTATAAACATTTCAAATGATATTCACATTCACTAATGATTTAGCTATTGATAAGTTAATGAAACTGTGTGACATCTGTCTAGCAATGTGTTAAGACGACTCACGTGGAAATTCATAAAATATGACATTTAATTCGATTCAAGTTTTTTTTAAGTCAGTAAAGTGACACTTATTTTAACCATCTATATTTCAAAATCAACCGTTAAACCTTTTACGAAAATTAAAATACCTACCGTCCAATCACAAACATCGTAACATAAAATGAATTTCCCTTAAAGATCACGGGTTCTGGCAGTGTTTTTTTTCTGTTGATATATTAAGATTAACTAAAGAAATATTTCGTTTCACATCCAACAAAAATGTTTACACTCTTTAGTAAGGTACTTCAAATGCCGATAGAGAAAATAAATATGTGTTTACCGTTCGCTTATTTAGGGTCTATAATGAAATACATGTAGATTTATCAGACAACTTAGTCTGGTCATATAATATTTATTTATGAAGATTTCAGATGGAACTGACTTAATATGTAAAATTTCATCTCGGCCATGTGATAAAGCCATGTCCATATACTTTGATATACACCGCTTCACCGTACAATAAGAACTTTCATATGCTGCAGGAACCGCTATTTACTGATTTGTATCACTAATAAAGAGCCAAGCCAGCCTGCTTTCCGGACAGTTCCAAAGTAGAAGCTGTTGGTCAAATTTTACGAGCAGATATTACTTAATCTATTTTACTGTATTTACTGATTGAGCATATATTATTTTCTTTTAAAACGAACAGCGTTCTTTCCAAATGTATGTTTACGAACAACACTATATTCATTTCTAAGTATTCTTTTACAATATGAGGACCAAGCCCTAACACAAGCAATATAGCAGTGAGATTTTCGAATGACACGGTCTTTTTTTCTACAGCGTTTTTGTTCTTTCTGTATATAAATTGATAGAACTTTCGTATGAAACACCATATCCTCAAGCTAAGAAATTGTTGAAAACTGATAAAATTTATTTTTTCGTTATTGCTTTTTTGACATACGCAGAAGGCACATGCGCGAAATGCTACTTCCGTTTCTATAAAAAGTCGCAGTGTAAAAAGGTCTAACAGTATAAATTCAACTTTTTCCATTTGGAGCAACTTGTACAGTATTGTATTCTTGAAATACTAAAATCAACACGTTTGAGAACTGAAATCAATGTTGCTTAACAATGCATGAAAAGAGTCAAACTAAAAGAATATTATTAAGATAATTTTAAAAAGGTAAACGAAAGACGTAAATTCTCTTGAATAAACGGCCTACATGTTCTTCAGAGTAACCAAAATTTCAGTCTATAGGAAATAAGAAAGGAAAGTAATTTAAAAGATTTAGTGTTTGTTATATGACTTGATTTCTTCAACAACAACAAAACATCTTATATGGGAGGGGAGTAAAGACTTTAAGAAAATACATGTCACAAATCGACGGTGTCCTCTTGATTTTACATGTATCTTCAGTTTGTTCATATTACTGTACACCAACACCTGGTCACATATATTTGAAAAAACTTGTAATGTCTTTGTGTTTCAATAAGCTAATTTTAAATGTCTACTAACGTTAAGCTTCATGAAGTCTTGAATACATTTTTCAACTGTTAAAATGGTGACGGCAAGAATCATGAAGATCTCGTTAAAGCTACTCAAATAAACATGTATATGAAATCGGAATAAGAACAATACATTTCCACAATACTAGTAACTTTGACTTTTAATGAATTGCTAAATGTGTTTTGTGTTTTTCTCAAGTTACAATTGTAACACAGAAACAGTAGTGAAGAACAGTACTATTCTATCCAGTCCTGAGTATTTCTCTTCAATAAACTTTAAAACTATCTATGAATTATTGAATAGATATAGTTCCCAAATTTTACAAAATGTATCTCCCTTGCCATAAGTGGCAGTCATTATGGGGTCAACATTCTATAACTAGAACTATCACTAAATGTGATTAATACCCCCACAAGACTGCTTCGGAAATGAGGATGTTACTAGTAACAAAATACCTTGTAAAAGAATTGAAATATAGAGTTATGGTTGTGGGAAATTAAAGATAGTTGTGGTTCTTGTATGTTGCATTTCCTTTCAATGTGGTTGGCCATTGATGAAGTTTTATTGAATTACTCTGTAATATGTCCAGAAAGACAAAGAAAAGGCACAAAGGGCAATAACTCTATAAATACTGAAGATGGAGTAATTGTTCTTGTACAGTGCACTTCCTCTTATTGTGCTTGACCATTGTATGAAGTTTTTTTGAATTCCAACCAGTACGTTTTAAGTTATGCTCCGAACAAGGAAAAGTATCAAAGGGCAGTTACTCTGTATTTTGTCAAAATGGAGTTATGGCTCTTGTGCACTGAACTTCCTTTTAAAGTCCTTGACAACTGTATGAAGTTGTATTGAATTTCAAACAGTAGTTTTCAAGTTATGCTCTGGACAAGGAAAAGTAACAAAGGGCAATAACTCTGTAATTAGTCAAGATGGAGTTATGGTTCTTGTGCACTGCACTTCCTGTCATTGTGTTTTACCATTGTATGAAGTTATATTGAATTCCAGCCATCAGATTTCAAGTTATGCTCCGAACAAAAAAAGCAATGGAAAAGTAACAAAGGGCAATAACTCTGTAATTAGTCAAGATGGAGTTATGGTTCTTGTGCACTGCATTTCTCCTTATTGTGTTTGACCTTTGTATGAAGTTGTTTTGAATTCCAACCAGTAGTTTTCCATTTATGCTCTGGACAAGGAAAAGTAACAAAGGGCAGTAACTCTGTAATAAGTCAAGATGGAGTTATGGTTCTTGTGCACATCACTTCCTCTCAATGTGCTTGACCATTGTATGAAGTCATAATGAATTCCAACAATTAGTCTTCAAGTTATGGTCCGGACAAAAGAAAGCTATGGAAAAGAAACAAAGAGCAATAACTCTGTAATTACTTTAGCTAGAGTTATGGTTCTTGTGCACTGCACTTCCCCTTATTGTGTTTGACAATTGTATGAAGTTGTTTTAATTCCAACCAGTATTTTCCGGGTTATGCCCCGGACAAGGAAAAGTAACAAAGGGCAATAACTCTGTAATTAGTCAAGATAGAGTTATGGTTCTTGTGCACTGCCCTTCCTCTCAATGTGCTTGACCATTGTATGTAGTTATATTGAATTCCAACCATTAGTCATCAAGTTATGCTCCGGACAAGGAAAATGCAACGGACGTCTGGACCGACCGACCGACCAACCGTCCGACCACCGGGTGACTCCTATATACCCCCCCCCCCCCAACTTCGTTTTTTAGGCGTATAATAATAGATAATATGAATATGAAATCATAGCGTACACAATGAATAATGTAAGTGACGGATTCATCTGCTTGTTTTTATATACAATTTGCTCTGAGAGTTATTAAAGTAAGACATTCTCTTGTTGGACTTTCTTTTAAACGTTGCATACATACAATTAGTACAGTTATTGACTGCATAATTAACTGTTAATGATCAACTTAATATGTCTCTTATCATAATCTCGAGACAATTCGGCATATTTCGTCACTTTTTGCATTATATCTATATCAGTTTAGTGCCCGTTTAACACTAAAAGACAAAACAGATGTCCAGTACAATATTTTTATACGGTAAAATACGAACTTGACGGAATTTAAACACGATTTGATGGATGTAGTAAAATCGTCTGTACTCGTTATCTGACACTGTCTGGCCTTGATATGTAGATAACGTAGTTGTTACAAGGTTGAAATGGAGTACGGTAGGCATTATTTTTATTGATAAAGACTTTTAAATAATCTTTTAAACATAATTTAAATTCATAGTAATGAAGTCAACATGCTTAAAATGTTGTTCAACAATTAAGTGCACTTTTTAAACTATAACAAATTGAATTGATGAATAATATATTTTCCCAACATTATTTTTTCAAATGTTTGTTATCATATTTACATATAACACCGTGCATATCCAATGACGCAGGAATGTGCAATTATCGTAAAAGTAACACCGAATCTGTGCAACGAATCTGTGCATCGCTATTGCCAAAACGAATAACACAATAAGCAAACGAACCAAACGATCTTATTCTAAATCAAATTTAAATAAATGTATAAGCGGATACGGCTGCTACGACATTATACGTTAACCAGCAGTACAATTTTTTTCAGGAATTTGTTTACTCTCTTAGATCATTCGTGAGAAAGACAACCTGATTACCGTTTTGAAGGTGGCTTTTGTGTTTCGTCAAATAAATATGTATATTTTTCACAATTAAAACATATTTTTTCATGTTCTGTATACCTAAGACATATGTCAAACTATAAGTGTCGTATAACAATAGAAGGAAGCTTGTAAAATAGGATTTAGCTACGTAACTTTTAATGAGATAACCGTCGTTGCTTCAGTGCTTCATTCACGAATTTGGCGTGACCTCGTAAAAATGGTCTCAATTACGTTTTATCTGCCAAATAAAGTGTAATATGACACGAGCAGATTGAGAAATGTCTCAGGTACACCAAATATTATAAATCATAAATTAATATGTACGTTATTGTAATTAAAGATATCAACGAAACTAAAAAATCGACAACAATACGCTAGTCAGGTCGTCATTTTCACTAATGATCTTGAAAAATAAATATTTTCATGGAAACATTTTTTATGAGGTGTAAAGTATAATGCCTCAGTTCTTCCAATTTTGTGTACAATAAAAATTATTGGTCCATTTCCTTATTGTTGTGCTCGTTTTAGCCACTAAATTGCAGAATTATGTGTAACTTTTGCACAATTCCTGCGTTATTTGCACATTCCTGCGTTACTGGATATACAAGGTGTATTACGTAGCACTGACTTAAGATTACTACGAAGGTTATAAATCTATGTCAATTTTTCAAAGGCTGACCAATGTTAATAAGACTTAATAAATTATTGCTCAAACTTAAAACTAGAAGAAATGGAAACCCCAAACGGCACACTTGAGGCTGGTGCAAGCTCGCTTTAATTAAGTCTGTTCATGGACAGTTGTGCAAAGTGCAAGCTACCGACCACGACAGCAAGTAACGACTTAAGCAGTATTTAACATTTGAGCTGCGTCACGACAAAACCAATATAATGGGTTTGCGACCAGCATGGATCCAGACCATGCTGTTCGCTTACAAACCCCCTATTACAAGTAGAGAAACTGATAGCGAACAGCATGTATCCTGATCAGACTGCGCGGAGGCGCAGGCTGATCTGGATCCATGCTGGTCGCAAACCCACTATGTTGGTTTTGTCGTGGCGCGGCTCATTTAATCATGTAAAGGGTGCAAATCTACAAAAGTGTTCATTAGGTGTTGATCCTGGAACCTACGGTGTAAGACGCATGTGTCTGCATTAAAATTGGCGCATAGTCCACAAGATAAGAATGCGTGCGCCTTAAACGAGAAAACAATGGGCGAAAACTAACTACATGTAAATAAAACGGAATTCTGAACGTAGATCAGATGTTACGAAGCCTGCATATCATAGACACCAATTCTATTTGAAAAACCCTGGATTAATGTTTAGTATTCAAGTGGAGGTACCGAATCAATCGACAAGAAAAAAAATCGAATTGAAAGAAATGTAGTGTAACAAAAACCAACAAAAACGTTTCGCAATCTGCTTCATAAAAAATAGAACTTCATTCATATGTTATAAATACGGTAAAAATTTCCCATACGCCCTTTTTGACCTATTACTCAGTAAGACTAGCTCTCGTATTTTTAAACACCATTCAAACAATGACTGTTTTTTGATGAAAAATGATAGCTAGCCATAGTGAACTTTTAAAAAGATTGTTTGCCTAATTACTAAACAGGTAGTTTGGTTTTATTTCTAAGTATGAAGAGAGTAAAATTTATTAAAATATGACCTTTAGGAATAAAGGCTTTAAATATTTGCTTACAGAAGTTTCGAAACTAGTACGTTTTTTTAATGATTAACATTTGCTTGAACTTCATTTTATTGTAGTTTATTGTTTGAATACATAAATAATTATTTGAGCCGCGTCATGACAAAAACCCAAAATAAAGGGTTTGCGACCCGCAAAGGATCCAGACCAGCCGCGCATCCGCGCAGGTTTTGGGGCAGGATCCATTTCTTTTCGCTATCAGGTCTCTTTCTTTTTTAAAGGGGTTTTTTAAAGCGAAAAAGCATGGATCCTTTATCAATGCGGGGGAAAGCGCAGGCCCGGGCTGGATCCTGCTTTGGTTTCCCAAAACCCAAAAATGGTTTGGTTTTTTTCATGACGCCGGCTCATTTTTCTTTTTATGATAAAATTTTAGAAAAATTTTAAAGGTAGCCCTTTAACTAGATAAAGGGAAAGATTTTTTGTTGCGCTCAACGAAAATACACGCATATTTTAATATCCCATGGGTTATATTTAAAACCTGTCCTCATATTAATGTTTCAACATGCAAAAAAAAAAAAGGAAAAAAAACTTTAAAAATACCCAAACAAATAAAAATGTGGGCAGGCTAAATTTAGCTGAAAACTGCAACGGAAAGACTGTAAAATATTTTAAAAGGAAAGCTTTTTTGGCACCCCCTTTAACACAATTTTGTAGAATTAAAACATGAATTTGGGATTATTTAGAAAAAAGTTACACCCTCTTATTTTGGTAAAAGATCCTGTATTTTAAATAGTTTTTGGTTTTATTTTCTTTAAATTTATTAATGCTCAAATAAGGGATTTATCAATTTATTTTTTCCAAAAAGGATTTTTGTAAAAAGATATTCCCAAATTTTTACATTTCATGTTTTTAAAGGGGGGGAAATTTAGAAAATTTTTTCTATAAAAAATAAGTAAATTTAAATTTCAGTAAAAAATAAATTTGGCATATATTTTAAAAATTTAAACTATAATGTTGACAAATTTTTTGCAGAAACATTTTTTCTTTATTTTTCCATGTTTAAAAAATTTTTTTTAAAAAGCATAATTATATACATATAAAATTTAAATATCAAGTTATAAAAGTACGCACAAATGAATATATTATTCAAACTATTCTGGCTTTAGATAAAGTAATATACTGTTTTCAGAGTACACATTTACGAAAGATGCGTTCACTGTCACAGATGACATGAAAGCGAAATTCGACAACTACGGATGTATTTTAGTAAGGTAAACCAGTTTTGTCCCATAGACTTTTGAATTTGTCTTTAAAACGGATGCATTCTATCAAATTGGTGTATTGTAACTTACATTTTGCCCAGAATTCAGAATAATAGGTGAATTGTCAAAAGAAGAATTTCCAGTTATTACGATTATAAAGACAAATGAATTATCTTGTATCAGAATAAATAGAGTTATCACATTTATACTTTGGAAACTTGTGATAAGTTAAAATATTTCAAGAAGGTTCTGCTTAAGCCGGTGCTAGGGGGCGTGGACGATAGTTTGCATTTGACAGTACCGTCCATGATCAGGCTCAATCAAACTGAGCCTGCAACATTTTCAATTTTGTCGTTTTGGACTTTCTTTAGGGATTCTTATTTTCTCTATTTTAGTATTAATTCATCGTTTGTAACATATGGTGTCTGTAGTTTTCTTTTCTTTTTACATACATGTATATTTTTGATACAGTGTAGTAGATGACTTAATCCAATCAATACAATGTAGTGACATTTCACAAATGCTTTTTGTTTGATTGGATTGTCTCTCGATATTTAAAATATAAATCACCGGGCTAGCTTACGGAAGATAAGTGGTTCATGCAGGTGCCCGCTTGTGACTGAAATAATGCAAGAAGAATCACCTGATGTCTTTCTCAAACAGAAATGACTTTACAGTGTCGGTGTGTCTTAACACTCTACAAAATAAACATATAATTTACAGGAATTTCCTTTCGAAGGAGGAAGTGACACACATTAAAACCAGTCTTGAGTCAGACGAATTTAAGGCATATATGTACGGGGTATGTTATAGCATTGTATATCAATAGTTTCTTTAGACTTTTAACAATTTCAGCATATTGGTTGCTAGTAATAGAGCGTTTGAAACAAGGGCGAGAAAAAATAAGTAGTAATGCTGATTACACCATAACAAGATCAGAACTAAAATAGTTGTAATTATTTTTTTTTTACTTTTTTACATATCATAATATTGGTAATCTTTCATTGTTAAATATCATTGTGGCAAGTCAGTCTGTTGATATGTACCAAGATTAAATGATTTAATTGATTTTGATTTGAAGTTGTACTTCATTTTTTCTCTATTGACCTCATAAAAGAAATTACAGGGAAAAAAACTGAAAAATAGTAATAACAATACATAGTGGATTGATGAAACATTGAAAGAAAACCCTAAAATATATAATGTTTGTTATCGAAACAGAAAGTCTGGGAAGAGTGATGATAATGTATTGTAATAAGGCAATAGAATAATAAAATACTAGTATGTTACTGTTGTTTTGTTTGCATCTTTGGATATTCAGTTAATGAACTACGTATATAAATAAATTTAAGGTCGACGATGGCGAGGGAAGAAAAGCTCATATGAACATCTGGAATCAGCCTGGGGACGATATCACTGGGATGTTGGGCAGGTGTGACAAAGTTGTCACTACATGTGAAAAGCTCTTGGGAGGAGAAGTTTATCATTATCACTCGAAACTTATGGGAAAACCACCAAAAGAAGGTGGCCGTCATCTGTGGCACCAGGATTATGGGTATAATTCAAAACTTTGTATCCCGTTTGCATCTTATTTCTTGTGAGTCCACTTTGTGCTTAGACGTTCCATACAGACATTGACCATACGATTTATATTATTAAAAAAGAAATATCAATAAATTATTATGTATTGCTTTAAAGTGTGGTTACTGACTGTACATTAGTATAATGTGTTGCACTGTTCATAATTATGTTACATCAGGAAAAAAAACTTTCATTATATCATGCACATAATCAAATGATGAAATATGAACATTTTTACTTTCAACAAGTTTCGCGGAACCTCCTTGTTTCAATATATGTCATATGTGCAGTTTTGGCGTGTATTTTAACATGTGTTTTATTAGGTATTGGTATGAAAACGGATGCTTATATCCAAACATGATAACTGTGTTCATGGCTATGGACAAATGCGAAAAAGCAAACGGATGCTTACAGGTAATTCTCGTTTGTTTTTTTGTTTTGTTTTTTTTGTTGTTTTTTTTTGTTGTTCTTTTTTTTTGTTTGTTTTTTAGCGTACTAGAATGTTTTACTTGTATTAAGAAACAAAGGATAAAATTATTTGAGGTTTTGGCTTATATAATATATACCTTTTTCTTCTTTGCCATTAACTTAATTTCAATGTTTACAGAAAGGTAAATAGATAAAAGATATGTTTGCAAGGAGATGAAACATTTTGCATTTGTTAATGTTGTATTCGCGGTATGACTAAACGGCGGATATAAGATCTAGTAAAATGTATTAGGAAATTACACTCCCACAGTTACCTCTCTTACGACTCTTTGTATGACAAAACTTGATATCGGTACAAAAAGAAGAGAAGGGGAGGTCAGATTGCCATTATGTCCATATAAAGACTCAAATTTTACATATTTAGTCGATGAGCTTGTAAAAATAAAAGTTTAGGCCGAGAAATGCGCAGAAACGCTCACATAAAAACATAATCAATATAAAGACTCAGTAAAACCAAATTATTGACATTCACTTAAGTATTGATATTTGAACCAGCAACATTTTCAATTTTAGTGTTTTTGGCGTTCTTTAGGGATTCTGTCTTTTCTTCTTTTTTTTATTAGTTTGATTTTATTGTTCTATTTTATTTTCTCATATGTTTCTTTTCTATAATCAATGTTCCGTGTCTTGCAACAGATATAAGAATTTTCCACTTTTTTAATTACTTAATACAACTATGTGTGTAGTAGTATGATACTGTACGAAAGTTTTGCAACATCTAACTACTAGGAACAGTTGGAACACCACTATCTACACTATTCATATCTTTCTTATCAGTATTTACCGGGGACACAAAAATGTGGTAGAATTGAGCACCATAGATTGGGCGGTCAGTTCGAAGCTGACGGAGAAAGAATTAAAGAAATTCAGAAACATATTCCTTTACAGTATGCAGAACTTGAAGAAGGTTTGATTTTGATGTATTTTGTGTTGACTATGCCTATATTTGTTAGTCTAATAAAGCGCACTATTCTAATAAAATTATTATTAAACTTGATGCTTGTTCGAGAGGGTAATTTAATTTCGCCACAGTGTAATGCAAAATTCTGATCCCTACAATTGTTTTTTTCAAACGGATTACTGGAGTTTCAGTTAAATATGAGTTGAGACTTTGTAGTATGTCTTCAGTCATGAAATTAATCAGTGTTACATTGTAAAATTTGAATAATGTTTATTTTGTGTGTTTCTTCAAATCATAGGTGATGCTTTGTTTATGCACTGTAATGTCCTGCACTGCAGTAGCGCTAATCTGAGTGACAAAAGGCGTTGGGCTTTACTTTGTTGTTATAACAGAGCAGATAATAATCCGGTTAAAGAACATCACCATCCGCAATATACCCCGCTGAAAAAGGTAAATAAACAAATTTCCTATCTAATGAATCAATATCAACATCTATATAAACAATGCGTATATTTTCTAGACCTTACAAGACAAGCGACAAAGGTTCGGTGAGCATTTCCCTGCGTTAATGTTGAAATGAAGCAGCGTCTCTATTTTTATAGCATTGAAAAAGTTTTTTATAGTCAACAACATATATGATTGATTTACCTTAAGACTAAGCACAAACAGAATAATGGTCTACCTACAACATCAGTATCTGTTCTATTGCTGTGGACTTTCTGCTTCCAATCACGTATCCTCTCTAACATATATGAACTATTGACATATCTGCAGATATTTAATTGCTTAACTAAACATTTCATTTCGAAACGTTGAGTTTAAGGAACTCCACTGAGGTTCAAAAGCCTAAAAGCATAAAATTTAATTTTTGACACAGATCAGCTGGGGCACGTAAAACAGGAAGACATGCAAAAAATAATTAAGAAATATACCAAGAATGAATTGAAAAGCGTATTTTTGTGCTTTTTTCAATACGATTTGAGTAACGCTTTTCAATTTTGGGTCTTTTTTCACAATTTGAATAATTATTCTGGATAAACCGCGAGAGCGAATGATCTAAAATTTTGCAAACAAGTTATTGGTCTAGACCTACATCAAACTGAGCATTAATCTCGAAAACTTATTTCCAGTCCCGTCATGTCAAAAAACCTCAGTGGAGTCTCTTTAAAATTAAGCCGATGCTAAAAGGGCATCAACGGAGGCATAAACTTACCATTGGGACTGAAACTGAGCCTGGATCATTTTTTTTTACTTTCTAGTGTTGTTTAAATTTCCGTATCTTTTATTTGAGTATGTAACTAGACAAATATATATTATCACACACAATTATTTTAAAGCACAATGCTAAAAATATATTATTTTTGTTTATTCTACTAATCTTTAATATAATTTTTGCTGTTGTGACAATAAGTCTCTAATACATAAAAAAAAATTGTAAAAAGTTTAAAAGTTATTTGGATCCTTTTAAGAATTGGTCTTGTATCTGTAAACTTATATTCATCATTACATACGAGAATGTTGTTATTATATGATGCAAAGAAAACGGTTGCTATTTTTCAGGTCAATGACAGCGAAATACTTTCCTGTAAGAAGTTGATCGATGTAGAAGGCAAGTCGTTCATGCCTCTCGGCGTAGACAAAACATCTCTTCTACAGAAAGTTGAAACTTAAACTGTTTAATCATACTTGTGACCTCGTCAATATAACAGGAAACAAAGCATCTTCAATAACATTTAAATGATTGTGCCATATTCATCTAAAATTTCTTCACTGAAAAGTTCTTCATTTGAATCACGAATAAATTTTTAAAAAATGAAGAAAATTATGCTAAATTTAGTATAAACTGAGTCTAAAAGACTATCAATATCATTTCCTATAGCCGAACAATTTACATAAATTTGATTGAGTCTTATAAGTCACTATGCTAATCAGATTGATGCTGCTAGTCGAGTTCTCAATAGAAAAAAAATCAAATAAAATTTTCGTTATTTTTATTCATGTATCACTTTAAACACACTATTTTATTTTACATGAAGAATGTATATTCATGGTGGCATATGTTACTCTTCATTTAATTTGGTCTATCAAACGTGGTCCAGATCTACGTTCACTTTAAGTATCATTTCCGAGATGATTTCTAGTTTTTGGAGGTGTTTCGAATGCCCTACTAGCCTTAAAAAGATTCCTTAAATTGCTCTTTTTTATTAAAAAGTTATAAATGCATATATATAATTTAAAACTTTTTTTCGTATGAATGCATCGTACCTTATGGAATATTCCCTCTAGAATAGTTAGGCTTTTTATCTTTAAGTATACATTTCTGAAATGTTTATTAAAACGTGTAATTTCAGAACGCCTATACCTATTTGAAGTTGTTTTATCATATCACATAATATAATAAATAACCAAACAATACAAGTATGCAAATATTCATGTTACTCATTTTCACAGGCCTTTGATATCTTCATAAAACATTTCGTATTTTATTAAGCTCAATTAAAGGCCCGTTTAACACAAACAAAAAGCATGTATCTATTTTTAAATTATTCTATAAAATGTAAACCAATGACTCACATATGATGTGGGTATTGATAATGAAAAATTTTCGTAACAGTTTTCTCAGCAACTACTTATCACAGCCTCTTGATATTTAGCATACAGCATTGACACATGGTCCCATACTGTGGGATTAGATTTCAGGTCTGTCGCTCATCCACTTCCTATTTACCGACTTAAAATTTAAATTTTCAACATTAATGGTGAATGCGATGGTAGGAAATTTTCGTAAAGTTTTCTCTGCAACTTCTTATCACAGTCTTTTGATATTTGGCAAACATCATTAATACGTGGTCCCATACTGTGGGATTCGATTTCAGATCTGACACTCATCCACTTCCTATTTACCGACAGTTTTCTCAGCAGTTTTCTCAGCTACTACTTATCACAGCCTCGAGATATTTGGCATGCAGCTTAAACAAGTGGTCCCATATAGTGTGATTTGATTTCAGGTCTGTCGCTCATCCATTTCCTGTTTACCGACTTTAAATTTTCGACATGAATTATTATGGTCAATGGTAAACATTTTTGTAACATCACACCCTCATCATATTTGGTAGACAAATGCAACCCGGCCTGTCTTTGACCCATTTTTCATGAAAATTCTAAGATCAAGGGGGTTATTCTGATCATTTTTTTCAGAGTTGTAAACCTTGTCACATTTAAATTTAATTTGATGATCAGAAACATATATTTCAAGTCTGATGTCTCAATACCTTAAGAAATAAAGAACTTATAGGGGAAAAAAGGTAAAAACTTGAATGAGAAATCTTGATGAGGTCGCCCACGCTTGGTGAGACAGCTCTCAATATATTCCTTATAGATGTATATAATCTCCATACTGCCATCTATCCATATTTTAAGTTTCCTAAAAATGTTTTCAGTACTTTTTGAGTACTCACAAATATTGTTACATTTGCCATATGTTAAGCCTATTTGTTGCCATAGCAACCAACGTTTTCAACATAGGAAGAAGAAAAAAGACGTGCATATAATCTCCAGACAGTCATATATAAAGTTTCATAGAAATATTTTCAGTACTTTTTGCATAATCACGAGATTCCAGTTTTGTATACAGACGGACTGACAGATGTGCGACCGAATAGGGATAAAGGACCATTTCTATTGTTATTTTCTTTTGTTTAATAGAGGGCCATGGACAAAGCGACGACCTTATGCTCACCAATAGGGGAGCATAAAAAGGGAACCAATGTCGGGGTTGGGCGGGTATTGTCTATGGAGGAAAATGTCCGTTTTCCCGTGTAGTGCTACATATATTTTATATCAGCATGTAAAAAATGAGAAAGAGATATCATTTTGTTCCTGAATTGTCATACATTATTTCATGCTTTCCAGTGTTTTATTGTAATATATCAGATGATTATATTCTGATAAACCACAAGTGAAATTTATAAAATATAATTTTCACTGTAGCCGGACTATATCTGAATGCGGATGAAAAGAAAATCATAACTAAATGGAATAACAGGTAGAAATAAATGCCGTCATGCGTAAATTTTGCTTCTTTAGGAAAAGAAAGTCGATGCCATCATACATCATGTTAAAAATGTAACAAAATTAGAGAAATTCAACAGACCTATATTTTAAAAAAATTTGATGTGACGTCATGATGTGATGACGTCACAAAGGAGAATGCGTGACGTTACGCGGCAAAATCAGTAAAAAAGTACTTAAAATCACTTAAAAGGCATGAAATAAAAAGAAAATTTATTTGTTTTACATATGAGATTGAAATATATTTCATTCGTGAACACCAGCTATTATATTTTCACTCGTAGCTACGCCACTCGTGAAAATATTGCATCTGGTGTTCACTCAGTGAAATTATATTTCAATCTTACATGCAAAACAAACACATATCCTCTATATAATGCATGGGTTACTGTACAAATGAATTGTAATAAACTCTTTGCAAGCTAACATATTTTAGCCATGTGAACAGTACAGACCATGCCATCTGATCATGGTCTGCACGGTCCACTATTCAGTTAAGATATTTAGCCTTGTAAGGGGGTAATCAATCAGGTTTGTAAGCCTTTCTGATTATATCTTTACTGCACATCTTTACTTAAACTTTGCATATTCTACAAAAATTCACTCGAAATTTGATATCTATCTCCACAATAAAGTATAGCTTTATATATCCCATACAAAGCACTGTTTATATACATACACTAACTGGCATTTATAAATGATGTATACAGTCATTGTAGCATTAAATATTATCTGCCCATAACCCTTCATATAAAGAAATTCTTACATATGTCTTTTAAACAAACAAGGGTAACATTGTCGCATAATACGCCCGTCACAAAAGCTTTTGTCAAGGATATTGGCATTATAGATATACATATAGACGATATGCTCTGGGAAATATCCGGACAATATCTGGATATTTTATCATCTCTAGTGACCTTGACCTTGCAAATATTAACCTTAATTACATGTGTCACACTTGTAGTCATGATAGTTTTCATTTGTGTTACAATCCATCAATAAATGACGACTAAATGGTCCCTGTACAAAAACTTTCCTCTCTATGTGACCTTGACTTTTGTAGAAAGGACCGGGATTATGTTCGCAATATTTAGCTTAACAATGGTAGTCATGATAATGACTATAAATGTGTTTCGGTCCCTTGATAAATGATGACTACATGGTCCGAATACACAATTTCATTAGAACTTTGTGACCTTGACCTTGACCACAGGATCCTACATTTTACACGCGACACTCCGACTCATCATGGTAAACATCTGTGCCTAATTATATTGAAATCCCTTAATGCATGTAAAGTTTTGCTCCGGAAAAGCGTTTTCAAATGACCTCTAACTCTTACTTTGACCTTTGTTCTAAAATCGAGCAATACTTAGAAACATATAAATATTATCTTTTTTAAGATCATGTAAAATTAAATTAAATTCTATAATAGTTTATTTTACTATATGTTTTATATAACCTTAACACAATTCAAAGATACATGGATTTCTGAAACTTAAGGATTGACCACAAATGGTCCCGAGCAACCAATGCTTTCAGTGCTTTGATTTTATTTTCCATTTTACAGCCAGAAGTTTACAAGAGGGCCATGGTGGCCCTGAAATCGCTCACCGCCAATTTAAAACCAGGGACTTTTATTTGAACAAACTTGGTAGACAGCCATTAGAAGATGATAAATATGTAAGCTCTAACTCTTTGGGGTTCTTAAAAGAAGATTTTTTAAAAGTTTTTACTATATACATATAGAAAAAACAATGACCCCCCCCCCCCCGAGGGGCCAATTTTGACCCCAGGGCTTTTATTTTTAAAACATTGGTAGACACTAACTAGAAAATATTTCATGCTTAGTATTTAAACTCTAGCTCTTTTGTTTTTTTTAAAAGAAGTTTGTTTTAAGTTTTAAATCTATACAAAATAATGAAAATCAATGACCCCCTGGGCCCGTATTCAATATACATCTTAAGATTTTTCTTATCCTTACGTGATATTTTCCTTAACTAAAGATAAGATATTTCTTATCCTTAAATAGTACTTAAAAAGCTACTTAAGTAATTTCTTAGCTAAAATTTTTCTTAAGGTTAAGAATTTTCTTATTTCGTTTGAGAAAATTCTTAAGTACGTTGCCAGGCTATTCTGGTTTTTCCATCGCTTAAAATAGTAACGGAAATGAGAATTATGCGCGCGCAGCGTCTCATTCAACATGGCGGAGGCAGCAGACGTAAAGAAACGCCGAAACGCCAATTTTTCGGCGAATGACTGCTTATTGCTGGCAAACATTATGGGGCAGTCATCAAACTTAAATAAAACACTGACGAATTACCAGTACGTTCGCCATAAGTTCACCAGCAGTAAGTATTTTGCCAATATTACCATGAAATGTTACATTTGACAGATGGCGGGAGTTGAAGGGAGATAACCAGCTTGTGTTTTACAATTCATTCTTCGATCTTGGACTAACGATGTATTTTAAACTCACTGTCCCCGATTATTGTTATGTTGAAATAAACTTTAACACTTAATAATAGAAGAAACATGCTTTTATTGTTGATATAAAGTGACAGTGATTGATCGACAACCACTGAACAAAACAAAAATATATATCAGGCATTATCTTGGCTGTCAGGGTTTGGTGGTTGTCTGCATTTGGTGGTCCCCAACCAGTACAGAATTATAAACACAGCAAAAACTTATACTTATATTAACCATTTAGTACAATCTAAATGCAATCGTCTGTGGTGAATTTTTCTCTTTTTATGACATTTTGTTTCAAAAACGCAAAAACTACAATGTGTGGGATATTAGACCTAGATCTAGCTGTAAGAGATACTATTAAAATAAGGAGGCAGGGTAATAAAATTGGATAAAAATATGATAACTTAAAAAAGGTGCATTTATTCATTTG